ATATATATATCTTCAAGGTCTACATAAAACGGAAATTCTTGCTGTAAATACTGCACGGATTTCTATTATCGTGACAGACAATTTCCACAGACCTGACACTTGGGACTGAAATAAACGCACGAGTTTGAAAAGCCAGTACAGTATTTTTAGCCTCGTGGAACGCGTCTAGAGCAGCCATCACTCGGATCCAGTACCAAACTTGCAGATTATCAGGCCGTTGGATTGTCTTTAACGCAACGGCAGCAACATCTGTACGCTATACGGGTATCCTATTCGCCTCACTGATCGACTACAGTTTCATATCTGTGCGAAATTTGTTAAATCATATGGTATCATCGAATTCCGAATACCGATGTCCTTCGAAGAGTAAGGCCCGTAGGAGTTGAATGCAACCTGACACGAAATCAACTCCTCTAGTCAGATCTGTTTGAACAAATGGCCGAAATTCGCATTTCACAATGACTTGTCTATGGCCAGCTGAAGACTGGAATCCAAAATCTGGAACGCTTAAAAGTCCGTTGAAAGGACAGTCTTCATATTGATTTGAAGAACCGTATCTTTCACCTTAGGTCATCGCATTCGACAGAACGGTTTTAAAAAGAGCCATACAAGCGGGCACGTGAAGCTTCCAGATATAATGCGCCAAAATCCTACAAAACCATTGAGCCGCTTCCCTCAAGTCAGCCTCAAAAGTTACCTATGGGGTACGTTTGTCGCATTTAATAATGAGCACCTGCTTAATCATGCTATTTCAAGAATGACAACACAACTTACAACAGGGTTTTCCACTTACACTTTGAGGATGTGGTGGAGAGTGGATTTTTCTGATAACTGAATGGTGCTGTACTGAATAAATTTACGAATAACGCCGTTGTTACTCCATCATTTTTATGTAGGCTGATGGTTTTAAACAGGTCTTTGCTTGTTCGCTCGCAGTGCTTATTCCATCGGGTCTACATCGATGGCAATGGCGTGCGTGCAGTATCCCAGTCGCCTTAGCACAGAATGTCTGTAGCTCTCCAACTGCAAGGTCTGACCAATGTCAGCAGGCAGACGCGATTCGAACCTAAATTCGAACCAATTCAGGCCCAAACGTCTTCTAAATCGACCGTAAAAAGTCCGAGAGTTTCACAAGTACTATACTTACAGTACTAGATTTACAGTTTTTTCCATCCTCAAAAACATGTGGATGCATGATCAGGACGCTTGATGTCCTTCGTGACCCCTACATGAAAACTTTTTTAAGTTCGAGAAAATCATGATTTTCCACGTTCACCCGGAAACAATCGATTCCACTTTGGATTATCTGAAACCCCCTGCAGCTATTTCAGTTAAACAGGTAGATCACCAGGAACGTTGGAACGATCAACCGGTTCTTGGATAGAATGTTGTGCAACAGTGAGAAAGTGTTCATCTGAATTTATTAACGGACTTGGTTAGTATTCTGGAGGCTTCCGATTGAGCTTTCATGGAGCACCTTTCCGAGACATTGAGCAGCATAACTTGGTGAGCACATTGAGCTTTTGTTGATAGATGAGCTGCAAGTAAAACCAGATAACATACGAAAGCTGCTAGAAGAAGTAAAATTTGGCGAAGTTATCATAACTGATGTGACTATAATTTCAATAAAAGACCTGGTTAAAAGCTTGCTCCACGAATTCCCCCGCTTATCATGATGCAGCTTGGTGACAAAACCCTTTCGGTTAGATCTGATCAACTTTCCCAGTTCACTTTTAATCACCGAATTAAACATAGACAAAGTTGTAGGGAACTTTGCAGAAAAGAAGGTGAAGGGACGTTTTCCATGAACGAGCTTTCTTAAAAACTTATTCATTAGTCCCTTGAGTCGTTTGTTCGATTCGTACAGTCAACCAAAGCGCTATACGAATAACTTGTATCTTGACTAACAGAGTCAAGGGGTTGTCCAATTACATTACTAGTCGGGAATAATGCAAAAACAAATAGATAGCCAACTCAGGATCTAAAGAGGATGTATCACTTCGGTTCGCTGGCGTTCCCGGTTGCCACTCTGCATTGTAGACACTAGCCTCATCACCTTGTTGTCGATGATTACTGGTGTCTCGAAAACACTTTTGCCTACGAACGACCATTCTGTCGATTCAAAACAGAAAAATGAAAAGAAGCAAAGCTACTGTGAAGTGTTGTTTCGCCATAGGTTTAAAAAAGTGTCTTAAAAGTGTTTGAAAGTGTCCAGTGTTGAGGAAGCATGTGTGATAGACCAAAGAAATGCCAAGAACATCGTGTGTCTCTTCTGTGTCAAAAAGAGGAGTCACATCCGAAAAGCGATGCCTTTAGCCGCTTCAAAAGTTTGTTAGCTGACAGTCCTTTACTGATCCTGTGGTACTCAACAGGTCACAGTGAACGATTGATTTGAAGAAAGGCGAAGTCGGTAGCCGGCTAACAATGGATTTTCAGCAGCGTTATGCGTGATTGTGAGTGATGCACAGGGGAGCGCTTGTTTTGGGCAGTAATTTGCAAGTTTCATGACCACGTCGAACTATGGAGCACAAGTGGTACTTGCGGAACCACTGTGTCTTACAAAAGGGATTTAATCAGTCAGTCGAATCTACATAATCCAGCAAAACCAAGAAACTTGTGTAACCATCGTCTTCGAGTTGGGAGACCTCAAATGAAGCTTTATAGGGGCAAAGTCTACTTGACTGAGGGTAACATAAGCTCACTTGTATAAGGAAAAGTCAGCATATCCACCTTCGTTGGTTAAGACTGTAGTGGACAGAGAATCACGGTACTTGGAAGCACAAATATTCACTCACGGAACACAACTGTAACCACGTGTTCCAGACGGCCCAGTATGCTACTGGAAAGAAGTAACTTCTTCTGTTTGAAGAGACTTTCCTGTGGAGTGTTTGTAAGCAATTTTCGGAAGAAAAGCTAGTACTCATTGGGGAAGTAGATGCCAGTTGCACCTGTGACAAAACTGAAGCGCTACCTTGACCGGATAGTGTTCACAATTTCCGGCATAACAATGCCTTCTCACACAAACTCCATTTCATGAAATCTTGGTCATCACACCATAAGATCAAGTAACGAAATCGGCTGACTTATAGTATTCGTTGAGAACGTCCGGGCAATCGTGGCGAGGCGCACCTTTCAAACTAGTCGGCAATAGAAGAGACAAATCAGAAATCAGTGCTGATGATGTGAAGAAGACATACTGGAACATTCTAAAACATGTGCCCAACTGGTATGCCTCATGATAAAAAGAATAAAGAATGCATTATTCCTTAGTGAGTTAGTGAGGTCCACGAATAAATTATTTAGGCCGTAGAAGCTTTTATGTTTTGCGTCTCAACAATCCTGCGGATTTTCTCAACTAGTCGCAAAATATTGTGCTGTAGCTATGAGTTTGAGGTCACTCAGCAAAAAACTCATGATCGCAATGGGGCTGTAAGCAGTATTTTTGCCCTCAGAGAGAAGACAAGTCGTGTTTTATGTCTATTTACTTTAGCACTTCTTGGTGCTGCACGCTGTTCGGTAAATTCACAGCAAATCCCATGCAGTAAGCCTTCAGAGGGAACACCTTCGAAGGACAGCACTCTCAAGATAGACCGAATAGTCCTTTCATCGAATTTTTTTTACATCCGAGGGATTACTGTAGTTAATCATATAGAAGATCGTCGGCGTAAATGAGTTTATTCTATGCTGCTGAACACACTTCGATTCGTGGTTGGACTTTCATTTGGTTTCTTTCTAGTCACATAGGTATTTCATGAACATTTCTAAAGCTAACAACAATTTTTGTTTCAAAAGTCTGCAAAAGGCACAGCAGAAATAATTTTCTTCGAAAATCCGTCAAAGTGTGTGGGCTGGTGAAACTCACCTGGGAAAGGCGCTCGCGTTGTTCACATAATTTGATTTCCCTATCGATACTTTGTGAGAGCTTAATTTGCTGTATACAGTCGTTCACACTAGGCGCGGCGTAGATGTTTCTCATAGACTGGCGGTGTTGATGGTGTAGCTTTTCCTCTCGTAAATTCTGCAATCGAATAAAAACTGACGGTTTTTACCGAACAGGAAGGGGTAGTGGACAACATTACTGGCTTCTTTCACCAAGTTATGTGTTTACGCCACATAAGAGGTACTCTGTGCAGTGATACACCGTTCCATTTACTGAAATGACAGAAATGCACGAACCTGAATAAGAGTGCTAAACTGAGTCTAATTAGCACCGAATAGCCTAAAATTTGGTTTCTGTATCTGATCTATGATGGTCTTCAAGAGTAGGACCAATACGTGAACTGTACGTTCAAAATTGATTCATGGTGTTTGTGTATGTTTTATTCACATCGCCCACGGGCCAGTTGTTCAACTGTGTGGATGAATATTAACTTCAGCGAGATTTCAATGGTTACCGATAGTTGTTTTGAGCCACGGGTACGCACACTGAGAGATACTTTGCTAGATCTCATTATTCTATGCTCACATCTTTACCAAAATGAAACGTGGCGTAATTTGTCTTCGTCCAATACATTAAGATTGTAGTTGGCTGATAAAAACTCAGTACAACGACCTCTCTCAAATAGGAAGAGAATGTCCAAGCGGCCTAGAGTGGAAGGCAGTATATCGTAGGCGATATCGGGCACAAGACCTCTACCCTTCAGCACTCTTCTGTAAAGTTATCCTTGATAGAGATTAAGGCACAGAGTTGTGCTGTACAAGTGTGATAAAAATACTGAGCACTTAATATATTATAAATATATTGTCATTAAAAGCTCAGATCTGTTAAGAAAAACCCAATGCTCGAACCTAATGCTTGAAAACCCATGGTACAATGAACTGTTTAGGACGACGATTACTTCATAGACGAAAAACTGCATAGAAAAACTGCATAGAGTTTTATCCTTTACGCGGGTGCAACTGTCTACGCCGGAGGCTTGAATGAATGAATTTCCTTTGATTTTCTTTTTCTTTCTTTTGATTTCATGGCAGAATTGTCGACAAAATTATCACGGGTAATCAGATAAATTTAGGAAATTTGTTGAGAACTTGTTCCGCAAGCCGCAATGACGATCAATGGAATCAACGAACAGTGTTGTATTTGAGTTCTTCTACTAGAACACAGGATTATTAAAGACTCATTCTTTGAAAAAGTAATTTCAAACGAGGTTGCATTATGTCTGATGCACGAATATCGATCATACCTCGCCACTCCAGCGGTGCACTGTGAGCGTCTCTACGGAACTCAGCCCATTAACTGTTTTCAGGCCTCCCATCGCATGCCGCGTACACGTTTTTCACGTAAACACTGTGTTTGGAATTCGCATCATTGCATAGCACTATCACTCGCACCTCGGGATGTGGGTGTGATAGACAACGGCTGAAAGCCAGGAGCTCAGTCTTCCCGCCTTTCGGTCACTACAATACACCGGGGCATCTTAGTCAGGCGACCCAAAGTGGGTTGCGCGTCGGCTCACCCTAAGGATGGAACACGGTGTGCTGACTTAGTAGCCAGCGTGGATGTCCAGCGAGAAACCGATTTGGGCTCATAAGCTGAAAGATCGATAGCATCCGTTCGGCTTCACACATAGTCAGGATGTCATGGCGGACGATTCCCGTTGTATTCGAAGGAAGGAAGCCTCTCATCCAAACTACAAGCGTTCCGGACTGTATGGGTCAAACAACCCTGTGAACTGCATTTCATGGGTAGACCGTCAGTTGTATTGAAGACCACTTTCGAGGTAACTTCAGGTGTTAACGGAAAACACTAAACAGTAGGATCTTTTCTACAAAAAGTTTTGGGCCTGCTCAGAACAGCTCACGGGGTCTGCCAACTCAGAACATAATCAGCGATCGCAAAATGTTAATCATCAAAACAGCATCCAGGGGCGTTTGTTTTCGACTGAATCAATCGGTGTTTTTCCAAATTTAAGTGGCAGGGAAATATTATTTATCATGAGTTGATCGGTGAAGAAATCAGGTTTTCTAGCTGGCTGACCATCTACCGGATTGAGCGCTTATTGAGTGACAGCCAACAGAGCTGTTAAATGCTGGAAATATTGACTAGAGAAACTAAGTCAACCAACACTAAGTGCACGTTGTGTGGTGGATCCCATGATATGTCGTATTAGACACAAGATTTGTGGAAAGTTCAGCTGCTAAGGTCTTTGGGCAATATCAAGAGTGCTCATTAGAGGTTTACCCTGGTTCACTAAAGCCAAAATGAAAGTGGTTGCAGCGCTAAGTAGTGTTCTCATTGAACGATCTCTTGAAAAGGGTGACACTTGTTAGGAAGCATCATGGCTAAATGTGTCAAAATTTTCTGGTTCCGTTGAGGTGGGTTGTACTCGTTGATCCAATCCTAAATTTTCACGGGTCCAGAAGGAAATGCTCACCTTAAAATGGTAGGTCTCTATTCAGGTTGGATACATCTGTAGCTGCTGTACCCCATGTACTCTATTGTCGTTTAAAGTACATAGTTGGTTGTGCTGAGACGCCTAGAGGAAATTCATCAAAGTGAGATCTGCAAACTAATTCCTTCCTGGGAGAAACTCACCAGTGCTATATGAATATAGAGACTGAACATGTGATCCGAGAACCTGTTTCTTCAGAAAAGATAGCTGTATCGATATAGTATTTCAGAGAGGCCACCTCATTTGGTGGCCTTAGTGAGATGGCATGCCGGAGCACACGACCGTTAAACAAATCTCCAAAAGTCAGTCGAAGTTGTTCGCTTCCAAAGGTTGTTTTCTTCTATGGGTATTTTCTCATAGGATAATCACCGAAAAAATGGCATTGATTATCAAATCTCCATTAAAATTTGGTGACAGCTGAGTGAATTTTTGAACTGTCGTAATCTGGTAGAACAAAAAGAATGCCTTTTTTAACGTAGAAACGGCTGTCAAAGCCAAGTGTTTGGAAATCGCACGGGAAAACAAGCCATGCAACGCAAATGAACCTTAGTCAGTTGAGCTGACTAGGTCTGAATCAATCGATCTATTTATTAGCCAATTTACCAGCTATAAACCGTGCACCATAGACTCATTGGTTCCAGCTTCTACAGCTCGCAGATGAATGCTAAAAACTAGCTGTTCAATGCCTATTACATAATGACGTGGGAAATATTTACTTGTTAAACCTGTTTTGACTATGTAGAGAGCTTTGTGGTTGCTTATAACGCATGCCTCAAAAAAAGCAGGATAGGACTTACCGTATTTAGCTTTTTTACGGCCTCAACTACGCTAGCCATGATGGCTTGCTTCTGTGAAATTTTTCTTTGGAGCTGAGCCTTTTCGGAAATCTGACGAAGTAAATTATCCTGAAATAAAGCATGACAAAAATAGACAAACAATCTCCGGGTCGCAAATTAGCGCGCGAGGTTTGGAAAATATTCTGATGTATGGGAATAAAACGGCTGTTTTATGAATAGTGTTGCCCTACCTGAAAACTTTCTCGCTTAACGAACACACGGGTTTAATAGTAGATAAAACATGGATGTACACTCGCGCTGGTTTACAACACCATCAGGCTTTGAAAGAAACCAGAAGTAAGCACTCTCTGGGTGTTTCAGAGTGCAGCTTCCAAATTCATTCAAAGTAACGTCTTTATCCGATTACTTGGACATAATCATTGTCATGAGGTGTTATCATACCAACTAGAAAGACAAACACAAGACTGTGTTTGGCTGTTCAATGACTAGAAACAAAATATCCTCTAGAAAAGCGGGGATAAGCTACAGGTATGAATTTTAACTGGTTGGTCAATGGGCTTTCTTGCACGAATTTTCAACTTTCGTCTGCTGAACCCCTAGGNCTAGGAGATCCTACTTCTGTCAAATATCAGTTCAGTTTCAGAAAGTTACATCCACCCCTAATCAGCAAAGCAGTGATTATCCGCTTTGCTTATATCTCACGCGATTGAAGTTCAAGCCATGAAGCGACATGATAGGTTACTTGGTACTACTATGGTCTATAGGCATTACGGATAGAAAGTGAAAACTTATTGTGCTAATTGAGCTACTGGAACATTATAAGTAGCATACATCAATCCAGCAGAAAATTCGGACCAATGGATGACTCCATCCTTGTCGCACCGATGTTGATCCGCCACTTCTGTGGTTGGCTTTTGCCATAAAAGGCGCTCACACTTTCCGCAAAAGAGCGGAGGGCATTTCTTCAGGCTCACCTGCCTAAGGCGAACCAGATAAGTCACCCTCAGTTTGAAAAGTGAGCGGAAACGAAATCCGAATAGATTAGCCGAGCCACATGTGGCTGCTCAAAAAGGCGATCAAATATATCTTGTTTCATTCGAAAACCTGTAGGACTTTCGCACCCGCAAGGAAATTCATGTCTCCGGTTGAAGAACCTGTTAGTAGCACGATTGGCTTCTTACACTTGATGCACTGTCATTGTCATCATTCATCCGGTCAGTACAAATTTAAACACTCCTATTAGCAATAGTGCGAACATTCCACTATTTAGTCTAAGTGTTTTGTTATATGTTTGTTGTACAAGCACCACCTTAAACACGGATGTATTCCGAAATGTCTACTTTAACTTCTGAATGTCGGTGGTTCAAAAGCTCCAAAACCTGCACGCCAAGTATCACGCTGACGGCCAGTCTGAATGCTGCAGTTGGTTCGAATCGTACATTCGTATCGTATCGTTCGTACACACTAATGTCCACAGAAGATTCACTGAAAAAGAAGTGATTAGGCATAATCTGTGGGATACCCCATACTTGTGCAAGTGACATTCTAGGTCTTGGCAACAGTTCTGGACAGACCACTGAGGCAGCCGGTATCTGATGCCTACGTCGTTAAATTTCAGATGTACAGAAGGTAGGATAAAGGATAAACTAAAGCAAAGCTGTACGACATTTGCATTCAACTGGTGTCAAGAAGGCTTGGTTGATTAGTTTGTCTACTTACGGTACATAGTATACAATTAAATGGTCTCCTGACGGTGTTCCAGTTTTTTTCAACAAGGGGAGTGTGGAACGTTGCGCACAGGATATGCCCAAGGTGAAAAGGTACGTGACCCAGCTGGCTAGGAAAACCGATGGATTAATCTAGGTCAAAATGCGTAAAAAGCGTATAAAAATACGTCCACGAGTAATTTGAGGAGCATGGCCAGAAGATCATCAAAGTTTCCCTCAACGGGGCGAATCCTTATAATTTTGTCGCTCCCATTTTTCACTTTTTGGGGTTTCAGCGCCAATTTACCTCCCAAATTCAGGTTTAGGTTACCAGAGAGCTCTATCATCCTCACACTGAAGATAGGTAAAATCTAAATGAGGTCAGAAACTGTGAAAAAATAATAGGGTAGTTCTATTTCTCTTCAGGTGTGTCCTCAAGATTCCCATAATTGTAAACAGGAGAAATAAGAAAATATGGATGCCTTTTGAAGAAATTGTTGCTTACTCTTCGAAAGAGCATCTTATGCTTTTCAAATCATTTTTAGATCGTTAAACATCACTATAGATAGTATAAAGAACACGCATATGACCATAGAGAAGCTATAGATTGATGCTAATATATGCCCCTTTACCGGGATTAATGTGGTTCATTTGATCGCAGTAGAATTGATCGCGTAGCTTTGACATATTTCCACCAATCCATGCAACGGCAGGTTGAGCACCAGGTTTTAGGAAATGAATATTTCTTGTTTCCCTTTGAGTTTGTTTTAAGAATAAGAACGCCATTCTTGGAGCTTATTAACTCATCCACAAAACCTTCACTGTTCGCAAGTATTGCACTCTTGCGTTGCATTTATTGCACAAACCAGGGAAATGAAAATCACCTCCAACATGAAATTAAGGTTTTAATCTTCAACAAGTACACAGAAGTAAGAAAAGAAGCAGAAAGCGAGTAAACATAACATGATGTAAGAAGGAATTTTGTCGTAAAAACTGTTTACCAGGAGTTAGCCGGCCCACGTGTTGAGATGCTCTAGATGATCAAGTTTTTCCGGGTAACCACGGCTGGATTTGTGTCATTACTCACCAAATCAAACGCTGACATGTAGTGCACCACGATACACTGTGACCACAGGACTTACTTTCACAGTCCGATATTGGAAACGTAATTTTGAATGGATGCATTTGGTTCTGTTTATCGTTGAACTCAACTCCTCCAGCCGCTCTGAAAACGCTGTGTTGTCTTTTTGAGCCAGGCTAAAGTCCAATTTGGTAGGCTTTTCCTCTTTCGCGGTCCTGAAGATCTCCGCCTTTGTACGGCGCATAGAAGCTCGTAGTAGTGCATTATTCATTTGTAGTGAACAGATTAAGTTGTTCTGTGTAAATGTGAAGGCATGTAAACAATTTAGAAGGTGATCAAGGACTATTGTATTCACTGGCTTTTGGGATAACCCATTTCATGTTTTGCTAAGAGGGGCCGCAATTTTGTTTTGCTTTTGCTACATTTTGCAACCATTTTTCACTGGTGTGCCTGACTCACAGGCCACCGCAACTTTTCGTGACTTGGTAGTGAAAACATTTTCCGGTTCCGTACTAACGTAATGTAATGATCACCATACAATATGCATCAGTAACACCAGTGGAGGCCACTGCCGTAGAAACTTGCCAGTATGTAAAAAGCGTGCAATATCAATTAATGCGAATCTTGAGCACAATGTTTTTTACGCGGGAAAAATGTCCCGACACACCCAATGAAATTACTCACTTAGTGCGACTGCCTCTTGTGTAAGAATAAACCAACTTCTTCAGAGGGTCAGATATCTCTCGGCCGTACAAAGCTGTCGTACCTAGATAGAGGACAGCTAGTTTTCAAGCCACCGGAGTCAGCGTTGGTGGAGTTACTTCTCGTGTCGAGCAACGCCGAAGCATAAAAGACGGGCTTCTTCATTCAACAGCTGGGCTTGGGAACATACACTTATAATAGACTCCAGATGCCAAACAAAAATAACAAAAAACATGTGCCGGAGCCACATGTTTACTAGGTTTCAAACGCACAAGACAAAAATGATTGGGTTTTGGTGTTCAGAATTAGTTCTCTCTGCATCATGATAAGTCTCAATATGGTGAGCAACCTACAGACGCGACAAAACCTCCCAACTTGCCTCATCCCAACCATGTGAAAGCAATGACCCACTGAAGCTACTTGAGCACGCTGCTATTTTCCAGTGTAACTTCGTCTATCGCAGGTGATATAATAAGCCTGAGTATTGGTGGGGGAAAGACCTTGATGTCTGGAGCACAGATCTTTATGCAGACAGAGCAAACACTTCAATCGTGGAAGTGATGTATCATGACATATAACGACCGATGTATCCCGTTATCTCCGTACTCCGTGTTGTCCGCTCACAATTTGAGATATCACCTCGCCAGCCGTGCAGATGAACATTATGGGGGATAGCAAAAATCCCTGTCGAATTCCATAAGTCAAGTCGAAGATTGCCGATCCCTCACCATAGATAAGGACAAATGCTATCGAAGTTACAAAATGAGCCCTCAAAAGCCTGGATCTCAACTAGTGACCCGTTTAAACTTACAGGTTCCCCTTCTCTTGTGTGTCTGTTTGAGGGATATTGCAATTCGAATCTCGTTTGAATATATGATTCAAACCGAATTGTGCGAAAAATAATGAGTTATTTAACATTAGTGGCGGACTAATTGACGGAGAAACTGCCTGCGTAACCAAATTTGTGGCTAGATAGCCGACCAAAGCGTTGAGGATTCTGTGTACAGAGTGTACTTTGAGCCATTTGAAGTGATTTTACGGGCTTGGGGTGTTTAGTAATCTCATTTGGGTGCACATATCACAGTTATCTAATATAAAACACACCTCTGTCCTCTTTATCTTTCTTCGCATCATTAGCAGCAGCACCAGAAGACGAGGCTGGTGCCTCATTTTGTAACTGTGAGTGGAAAAGTTACCAAAAACTTTTGTTCGTTAGCGCGACTTCTAAGAATCAGTGAGGACTTTTGTTTGGATCCATACTTTGCTTACCACGTAGCAAGTTGCACCACAGAAGTCACTCAACATGACCACTGAGGATACACACAGTGAAATTAGGGGTGATCTTATGATAAGCGTCAATTTAATTGAGTGATACATTTACACAAGCCAAAGAGAAACCCTTTAAAACGAATGAATGGGTTGGAGAGTTTGATCATAAAGAAGATGATATCCTCAAGCTTGCCCTTGTAGATGCAAATCTGATGACCCACCAACTGCAGACAAGTGTCTGAAATATTTGCACCAATTATATGGCATAGGAAAGCTAATGTGCACGTTCTGAAGAGGTATATCCTGTATTCGAGTGTGTTTAACGAACATATCTTTGCCTCACGTTTCAACTGGCTTAAATAGTGGCATATCAGTGAATGAATGCAAATAATGGCAGAGTGAAGAGGTGTGGGTAATGAAAATAAATAGCTGAAAGAGTGCATCATGTTCATGTGATAGTAGCATTACTTATTCTTGGCGGGTACATCCAGAGCCTGCCGAATCAGATTGACTGGGTCAGTTGCTTCTGCGCATGCAAAGACAAAACCGTTCTAGTGATAGCAATCGATTAGACTGTTTTAACCACTTACTTGGAAATGTACACCAAATGATTTGGTCAAGCCTACCTGTTTGTTCGTATTGATTAAATGGTTCGGTATTGCGATCTTGCTATACTTTTTGGACCCACTCTGGCAAATACCCGAGTACAGAATGTCCATCAACAATGCACCATCTCTAGCCAATATTCTCTCGGGTGTACACGAAATTCATACACTCTAACGCTTGATCATGTCTCTGTTTAGCCCTGTAACCTACATTGTTTCATGCTATCGATGGAAGCCCATTTTGCCATGAAAAATGAAATCTTCAGAAGAAGTTTGACCCAAGTGTCGCTGGTAAACTTAAAAAAACTACTAACGTCGGAAAAAGTTCCTTGGATATGGGTAACTCAATACGATCAATCAGCTGTGGTAGATTGTACAAAAAATTTAGTTGTTCAACTTGCCCTGCGAGTCAGATATCTGTCAAAATATCGGACAAATACGTGAGAATTGACGTATGTATTGCCGGAGACTTGTAACTGTTTCACCGTCCTATTAAATTCCATCGCCGATTTCCTAATTTCTTCCAGACGTATCGTGAATGCTTCCAGCATTGCCTGTAACAGTTGGGATACATGCAACACCAAGTTTACCTTATATGCACTCAAAGAAGCCTCGTTTTTACGGCAAGCTTCTTGCATTTCTGTAATCACTGCCTCGCGTTCGGCGTTAATGATGGAGCATTTGATGCGTGCATCTAAACGGCGATATTTGTCCACTGTGCAGCTTGACCTAAATCGTAGGTTGTGCCGCTGGGTTAAAAGGTCGGAGGTCTCCTGTTGCCTCAACAAAATGTGATCCGGGGCCTCACAATTCCTAGAAATCTGTTCCAAGAAACGCCGATACGCTTCATTTTCTACTAACAGTTTTTGTGTAGAAGCGCTGGTCGCCAAAAATAGAATTAGAAACGTTTTGATTAACAGTAATGTACCTCTTGGTTTCCAACAATTCAGTAATGGTTACGGTGTTTGCGCTACCGTGACTTGTTTGGGACCATTTACTTGGTACCGTGCATATCACAGCGCGTAGAGATCTTCGGGACGTCATTCGTTTTTTATGAGTGCTGTAAAAGAGAAAAGACAAAAACTAAGTGAAATACTCAGTTAATAAAAAGTAGACAAGATATACTCAAGCAGTTTGTGAATGACTTGCAGATCAGTATGCAGTTACGCATCCTTGATGATAACCGGGGAAGAGTTTTGATAGATGCTTTGAGTCATTCACGAGACACACTGTGGTTTCCAACAACCGACGTTATTGTACGCGATGTATCTTTTTAGATTTTTGGTATCCAAAAGTGCATACAGTCTGCATTGTCGTCACTGGTGACAGACTGGTTTTGAGATCATTCTTTCGGAATATCTCATTCAATTTCATTTTGTAATCAAGTGTTCACACAATCACTGGGTCTCCTCATCTTCATGTGCTCTCCAGAAGTGCCTTTAAAAACCTTCACGATAACACTAGCTTTACATGCTTTTTTTGAACACATCATACATTTTTCCTGAATTCGTTCGGTCAATTTTCTTCCGAAATTTCGGTCACATGTGTGCGCTTGACGCATTTCGAGTTTGTATGGTTGCGCTGTGCAAAATTTTGTAGGGACAAGAAGTTGATACTCTGGACTCCAGTAGGCCTCGGTTGCAATGAAAGGAGGAGACAAGGATTCATCTACAAAAAATGGTCCGTTGGCAGAATGTGACCAGCCTTTGAACACGGGTGTTCTGAGTTAACCCATGGCTCATCTAATTAGTTTCTATTTCCAAGCGTCTGTCCTTGGTATCCCGAAAGCATACAGGCACCAGTTCTGGTTCTGCCAAACAAATCTTTCTTGCTTCATCTGAGGTCAAAATCTGGGGAGTTGAAACAGTTGACAGTTTTTCAATTTGCCTTCCAGTTCCACGTATGGGACTATAAGTGCTCATCCGTCATGGCTACTCAATGGCAAATCGTTTTAATATCTTGCCTATTCTGCAGTTCTTGTTTCCAGAACTGGACTATGCTCAGTGATAGCCTTTTTAATCTAAAAAATTAGCGAAACTTACAAATTTGAAAGGGATATTGTGTTTGCAGAGGGAAAATTCTGCTGTCTGAGCAGAGCTATTGCATTTGGTATTTAACACACTCACTGGTCGGCGTAGGGATAGTAGTCGACTCGGCCTATGTGATCTGTACTTGTTTGTGCTTCAAAAAATAACTACAGTGGGCATTGTGCATCAAACTCAGCGTGGCGCGCCCTAAGGTCACATGTGATTGTGGGCAAGTACTATTTTGTGACATAAAACGCTGTCTACGTCGTAACGCTGAATTGTCGAAGTGAAGCCACTGAAACGACAAGTAACTTCAAGGGCGTAAAAGCTTATTAGTAATTGTTTTATACTTGGCTTTAATTTCAGCAGACAGTTTTTATTCCGCTGACTAAAAATTGTCATGAAGTAATTTCTCTATAAGAAGTAGGAAGCGTCTTATTCGTGATATCAAAGATAAGGATCTCAACCTAGTAGGCTGCGTAGTCTAAAAGCGAATGCAACAGTGATTGAAGTGCCCACTTATTTGAAAATCGGAGTAAAGAAAGTAGAATGTCGAGATAATATGAGATCGTAAACGGTCATCAGCTGTTGACATATGAATCAATCTAAGTCAGTAGATTTCATGGGCTGTGGAAGAAGGACACTTGTGCACCAATCAGGTAGTAACAAATGCATATTCCAAGGTAATTCAAATCAAAGGCTCAATGTTAGATGCCACCAAAACTAACGAGGGTAATATCGTCCACATTGTGTCCACTTCTTGCTGCCGACACACGCGACTCCATAAACTGACGCTATGCATTCGATAGAGCTATAATTGTCTTAATTTATAGATACATTGGTATTATTACCCGAGTTTCATGATCAAAGTCAACGACAGTCTTTTCCAACTGATAGCGTTAACAGTGAAGCTAGTAAGAATGAATGCCCCTTTACTTCAAATTTGGAAGCAAACTTTATCGGGGTTTGAAGCCATTGATTTTTTAAGTAATGCAAAACAAGGTTTCATACCCTGACACACGTCTGATAACCCGTTGTCTCCACCTTTTATTTTTGTATATTTTCCATTACTAATCATCATCTTTAGGTATGAATCGTTTAATCGTGGTTGAATGTCAGGCTTTTCGCCAGAAAATAATAATGGGCCATGTTGGGGAAACTTTGCACTGGGGAGCACAGCTAAAAACTCAAAATCTCATAATTTAACTTTGTCTGGGTTAAAGTATGTACTGCTAACGTAAATGTCACTTGAAACGTCCGACTTTGCCTTGCATCAGCCAAGTTACAGGGTAACCAGTGTTTTCATGGATAGACCACGTTCGTCATTGCATATTTCCGACAGTGTGCCTTTTGTCTGGAGGTATCTACCAAGATGGACAATATGTGAGAGCGCGACTGAACCAACGGGAGTTTGTTCTTTGTTTGTGTTGTTTTACGGCAATGAAATAATTTATCTGTTGCGGTGCCCACTATGAAAAAACTCTGGCAAAAGGAACCATGCGAGGTAAACTGCCTTGTATTATTCGGCACACCTGGCTAAGCTGGTGCAAAAAACGGGGCGTAATCAGTTCACTTGTTCCATGAGTTCTCTCCTTCGGATCATATGGGAGAAGAACATTTATTGTCTAAGCACTAAGCAGAGCTCACTTGACAAAACCCTGTTCAATATTAAATGGATTAAGCAATTTGACAACACATGTTGGGTCAGATTTGATTTGTGCATGTAGGCATATTAGCCGAATGACGGGTGTAGGCGAGGTCAAAGGGACCCACCACTCAGTGGCATGACCGGAAAAATAATCCAAGCTCTCCCGCTGAAAAAACACGAAATCCTATTCCCACTTTTCCATCGGACACCGACTGCTTGAAAGGTAGCAGTGTTTGATATCCTTTGCTTATACAGGTGATGTTTCCGAAGAGTACTAATTTATATAACAAAGTAAACAGTTGTAGCTGTGTCCTTATAAGCAAGGCTGACGTCACACATACACACATCGTTTTTGGAGGGTGAAAGAAATCGTTCTGAGTCTTATACTCGGAAGACGTTTCTGGATTTGGATTCAGTATTGAGAGGTAAGCAACTGATTAGGTGAGTGTACCAGTTGATTACACTGATTTGGTCATTCAAAAGCACTAGACTTGGCTTCAACTTAAACAAGACTAGAAGGTACGCCAGATTTTGTAAAGGACTTCCATTTGCACTGAGTTGAACCAAACCCATAACAAAATCTTTGGATATTTGCTCACATCTTGATCCATTACAGCACAAAAAAGCAGTGCTGCAAGCAGTTATTACGGTACCACCCAAAAGATCCCAAATTACAGCCCGTTGCTCTTATGCAACAAGCTCGTGAACAATGTGGATGGGCTTTCAAGTTAGTCTTCGGAGTTTATTCCACCTAATCTGGTCACCAGGACCAAAACTAGTAAGTAAAAGCTGATGAAGTAGCTAATGAAGAAAACGAACCTATAAAAAGTTTCGCAGAAGGTAATGAAGGTTGTGATGGGCAATTCAGACGACAATTGAATCAACGTAAGAGTCTTATCCCATCAGTGCGCACTGTACCCCAAAACACACCTACCATCATGACTTCATCAGGAAGCTAGGACCCCAGAAGAAGTATTATGTATTAGGCCATGAATGAAAATCGCCCACATCATTCAACGCCGGGAGCCCGCCACCAGTGAAGCTAATAGTCCTTTTAAAAGTAATCATTTGGATCTCAAAAGAAATAACTACAATATATGATTTTCCAACCGTTGGCGCCATCCAGACAAAAAGGCATTGGGTGAACCTTGAGAGCTAGCTTGATTGAAGTCTGGTCAATAGTACAGCTGAAGCATCTTTAGTCATCATCTTACGCTAACTGTGCCAATAACGAAGAAAACTATTATTTAAGAATGCACCGAGCTTCTTTCAGGCCATGATCTTAAAAGCTACATATATACTTTGCAACGATTGTTTCAGCCTCTACGCATATAAAACAGATAAAAAAAATTCGTTTTCATAGGGAATCAAACACTGCTTTCGATGCCACAACTAGGGTCTTACCCCGAAAATGGTTCATCGTTAAAGGAGTTACATGACAGTTTGACGTATTTTAAAACATTTACGCTCTCGCATTTTAGTAGAAGCGCGTGCGTTTGAGGAAAGTGTTGGTCCGGCACTATTCTTCAGATTTACTTGTTTCCCTTTTTACTTGTCATTATTATCAGTGACACTTTGATACAATACAGTACGTGATTTTCAATTGCTTTATACTGTTGGTAGAGATCCATTTGAAGTCGTGAAAAGTTCTTCATGCCTTGGATGCTTCCTCAGTACCATCTATATTTACAGCACAGTAAACATCGGCACCGTTGAACCAGCAGCTTTGTGTCTAATCCGCTGACGCCTTTGGCGGCGCCATGGAACGTGGGATTCCCTGCGTAACGAAAATTATGAATCAGCTGTTAATGTCGTATGTCACAAAATACGGTCTTTGTCTGTTAGGGAAACAGACAGGTTCGTCCACAAAACTTTGTGGTCGAAAGCTTGGCTCTAAATCGGTTACCTCTTGCCTGTCAGCTATCTCAACAAAAATCGCTTTCCAGCGCAGATGTTGGGTGTAAACGTCAGATAGATGCAACCAGGAAAAAGTCACCGTTAATCGATTGAGTTCAGTTGGTTCATCTGGACTGTCTACAATCAAGCTGGTAGGGGCAAGATACAAACTGAAGCACACAGCCAGTTGACTAAAGCCCCAATGTTCAGTGTTTGAGGTGCAAAAACATTCGGTTATCCTACTTTGCAAAGATCAAAGCTTCACTTCTAGATATAAGGTACGGATAATAGCTTTATGAACGATGTGAAAATGTGTTGCTGTGTGTACAAGCAAAAATATGGTCTGTTAAGTTCCGTCGATGTAGCAGTACTTTGAAACCCTTTGTGGGGTAATGAACATTCTCGTGGTTCCGTGGTTTAAATTCATTCAGAATTGGGATTTTTGGCACACTTGCAGATATGAAGAACAATGT